AGAGTAGAGGCAGGAAAGATTATTTTAGAAGACCAATCTTCGTCTAAAAAGGCAGCGTGAGGTGACAGCATAACACCGGCTCAACTCTCTCACAACATTTCCCCGAGCACAGTGGTCCAAGGTGCAGCAGCCGACTCCTCTTTGAACTGAGGCTAACTTGAAATCTGTTAAAACTATGGTTATAATACACCTTGTCTATGAATGTACATCTAAATTATTGCCAATGCACAGCTGGGTCAGTAACACACATGCCGTACTGTATTCTTAGTAAAGTTACCCCACTTTGAAACAAATTATAACATTATTGGAACTACAAATGTAAATAAAAACCTGCTCAATAAATCACAACCCACTATGACAAAATCTTTAGAAAAGGATCAGTCCTCCCTAGAAGCTGTTACAAAAAAAAAAATATCTAGTTGTGATCTCTCAGCACTAACCATTAACCAGTACTGGAATGTCAGTAACTGAAGCTTCAATAAATCAAACCCGAGTAATGGCAGCATTACACAATTCAGCAAAAACACACTGTACATAATGCAAGAGGCAGGACGTGCGAGCCACGGGCCCAGCTGTCGGCAACGAATACCTATATCTACCTAAGGCTAGTTCCATTAATGGCCGTAAAGCTAGAATTCTTCTGAATCAAGTTTGCACAACCGCATGGGGTAATGGTACTTTGTATAGAGACTTGGTTCCCTTTGTCAGTTATCAAATTTATCAGATTTTCCAATTTTTTTGAAAGACAAAACATGTGACTAGCAAACGCAAGAGCAGATAATGAATTTGATTAAGTCTTACAACAAGCTAAAATAAACATAATGGAGAGCTGGCTGACTATTCAAATAATCAGAATAAACATGACTAGCTTAAATCTTCCGGCTCAAAACCACCACAAAGTTTGCAGTGACTTTGGCACATATTTGGATGTAGTTATTTAACTCCCTGATCCCCTGCATAAAGTCTTACACATCAATTCATTAATAGAAATCTTACACATCACAAGAAATCTTACCACTCAAAATTAATCTTATTCGCCAATATCAATATCTTGGAGCACAAAATGCTCATTTCTAGTCTCCTGGCACAAGATTTAACCCAGACAAAACTTTGCTTCAGAGATCTTATCCAGCAAAAACAAATTCTAAAAAGTTCAAATCCTATGAGCCGCAGTTTAAGTCACACAGCACATCACACACACCAAGAGACTGCCAACTCCACCCCTAAAATACCTCAAACGTTTTCCCTCTAATTGGGCCGCTTCACGTGGCCAAATAAAAGAGTTCCCCCTTGACAAATTTATTACGAGCGTAAACCTGCGACTGCCGCAGTAATACGTGTTACTGCAGTGTCAATTACTGTACGTACATACATAGCACTTCTCAGACTATGTAACAGAACTTAACGCTATATCGAGCTTCACAGCTTAGCTCATTAACATGTAGTGGTTCAGCGTGAAAAAAACAAAGGTGCATTATTAAAAACATACAATATTCAATAAATTGAAGGTTTCAAGAAGCTTCTTAAATTTTAAACATACTGTATAAATACACTTTTTTTTTTTTTTTTAGAGAAGGAAGCCTATTTTTTGTGTTTATTACTTTCACTGCCAATTTATCCCTACCAATTACGACATCAGATCTTGCTCTATCACAAACGTGAAAGTCACATCATAAAAAACTGCTTAAGTGAGAGGGAAGACCTCTAATCCATTACTGTGAACACTAGGCACACACAATTTTTACTGAAAAACCTCTCTAATCAACCTCAGAACAGAGTACCATATATAATGTTGAGAGCAATCATTCCCGACTACTGTTCCTCATGATGATGATGACGATTAAACAGCGTAACCGTTGACCAATACTTCGTACTGTCAATCCCGAAGCTCAAGTCCTCTCTCCCCCCCCCACACACACATACACTATGCAGCATCCCAAATCCTTCCCAATTTTCATCTCTGGCAAAATACTAAATTGTGCTGCCTCTAACGATATATTTTAGAACCTACTGAACCCCACCCTTCCCATCAACCAAATACACTATCACCCCATTGTAAATGTTTTTTAGAACCCAGCAAATGTCCCCCCACCCCCTTCCTCAAAATACGCAGTATACATCTGAAGCCGCCCCGTCTCCTCTCTCTGAACACACACAGCATCACCCCAGGACTAATGCATTATAAATCCGAGCTTTCCCCCTCCTCTCGAAAATACATACACATCCCGAGCCTCCCCATCCCCCACTTCAGATACACAACATCACCCGAGCCTCCCCATCCCCCACTTCAGATACACAACATCACCCGAGCCTCCCCATCCCCCACTTCAGATACACAACATCACCTGAGCCTCCCCATCCCCCACTTCAGATACACAACATCACCTAGCCTCCCCATCCCCCACTTCAGATACACAACATCATCTGAGCCTCCCCATCCCCCACTTCAGATACACAACATCACCTGAGCCTCCCCATCCCCCACTTCAGATACACAACATCACCTGAGCCTCCCCATCCCCCACTTCAGATACACAACATCACCTGAGCCTCCCCATCCCCCACTTCAGATACACAACATCATCCGAGCCTCCCCATCCCCCACTTCAGATACACAACATCACCCGAGCCTCCCCATCCCCCACTTCAGATACACAACATCATCCGAGCCTCCCCATCCCCCACTTCAGATACACAACATCACCCGAGCCTCCCCATCCCCCACTTCAGATACACAACATCATCTGAGCCTCCCCATCCCCCACTTCAGATACACAACATCACCCGAGCCTCCCCATCCCCCACTTCAGATACACAACATCACCCGAGCCTCCCCATCCCCCACTTCAGATACACAACATCACCCGAGCCTCCCCATTCCCCACTTCAGATACACAACATCACCTGAGCCTCCCCATCCCCCACTTCAGATACACAACATCACCTGAGCCTCCCCATCCCCCACTTCAGATACACAACATCACCTGAGCCTCCCCATCCCCCACTTCAGATACACAACATCATCTGAGCCTCCCCATCCCCCACTTCAGATACACAACATCACCTGAGCCTCCCCATCCCCCACTTCAGATAGACAACATCACCTGAGCCTCCCCATCCCCCACTTCAAATACACATCATCACCCGAGCCAGCGTATCGTAGAACGCAAGACTGGACAAATCGCACACCCTCTTCTAAACCCCACACTTGCTCACCCGACCTACTGGTCACCTCCAGGAGGGAAAATCTGAAATACCACAAAAACGAATAAAGCCGGTTCTGACGGAGAATTGAGGTCAAAATGTTTCGCCTCTAAATACAGTATACAAAATAAATGTTTTTCATACATTACAAAATCATAGTAAATAATACAGAATATCTTGCTAGGCACTAAAGCATTATTATTTAGTATAAGAATTACAGCAAGAGATAATATTTGATAACTGTTATTTGTAAGCATACTTGAGTCCCTAGTTATTGTCAACGTGTTCATCAGCACAAGAATGGCACACAAAGGTGCTTTTTATAAATGAAATTCCTAAAACATCTAAGCCATATAAGATTGAAGCTTTGGTCTCTTAAAACCGACTCCAGATATGTCTATCTGCCAAAAATGACACGCCACACACTAACTGTGTCCAGCATGGCATTATCCTGCCTCTCGTCGGTTTGATTGCACCTGATAACTGACATCACAGCACACATTACCCACCATAATATTCAAAATGGTCTCACTGCGACTCTTACTGAACCGGGGACTTCACTGCTTAATCCTTACACATTGCGGCAATTTGCCATGTGCAATTTCCTCCTGTGTGCTAATCGCCACATGTGATTGATCCTCAAATGGTTTTTCAAATACTTTTAATTAACAATACACACTATGATGTAAGACTTTTAAAAAACTTAGCAGTTTAAGAGTTAAATGCAGCACACGCAATGCAGCATATTTGACGACTCGACACTAACTCTGAAAATGGTAAATTAATATCTTCAGTATCCAAATACACCTCAAAGCATATCCTTTTTCATGCAGAGATAGCCAATGTTGACACACACTGACCAACTGCAATTTTTACATATAATGGGAGCGGCAAAACCCCATAACTTGGGCTTGCCACTGGTGGTTTCCTCCTATGCCCTTAAAACATCTACCGACACATTTGTTGCATAGCAAAATAAATACCTGTGTCTTGTCGTTACGTAAGAATAACATTTACCATCAGTTGTAAAAGCAACTCCCCCTCCCCTACAGTTGTTCAAGTTCTCTCATACACTGTAAGTGCCTGGGGAACACTACCGCTGGCACGCGCACACACACACACCAGTGCCTGGGGGAACACTACCGCTGGCACGCACACACACACACACCAGTGCCTGGGGGAACACTACCGCTGGCACGCGCACACACACACACCAGCCTGGGGGACACTACCGCTGGCACACACACACACACACCAGTGCCTGGGGGAACACTACCGCTGGCACGCGCACACACACACACCAGTGCCTGGGGGAACACTACCGCTGGCACGCGCACACACACACACCAGTGCCTGGGGGAACACTACTGCTGGCACGCGCACACACACACACCAGTGCACACTACTGCGTGCGCGCACACACACACACACACACACACACACACACACACACACACACACACACACACACACACACACACACACACACACACAACATTACATATAGGGTCAGGCTTACAGTGACAAATGTGAAGCTCAAAATTAAAAAAAAAGACATATAAAAAGTAGATGTTTAAAAATAGAGTAGTTTAAGAGTCAAGCACCACTAGTGACACATCCATCAATTATAGTACGAGTGCTTGCAACAACAGACTCTTAGGTCAGCCACTGCATTTTAAAGCCACTTTTGCCTGCATATTTGACTAATGTATAACATTTCCTGTCATTCTTAGGTGTAAAAAAAAAAATACATGAATAGGAAAAATAAAGCACCATATCAATAACATTCATAAAAAATAAAAAATAAAAATATGCAAAGTCTCAAGCTGAGCACAACAGCCTCTGTTCTCTCCATTCTCTCAAACACCTCAGTTATCGAGACGGTCAGATTTTGCAATTGACATCACAAGTCCTGTCCGTATATGCGAATGATTAGCGCACAAATACACGAGTCCAAAAAGTCTCGATAAAGAAAACTGAAGCTCTTCGGGGGGTTTTGAGAAATGAGGCGTGTTGATGCGGTGGTCATTAACACATAACAAAATGATTCTTTGTACTGGATGGCTTGAGACCTAGCTTGTCCCCGTCACAATGCCGGCTCGCACACTTCTATACGTACCACAGTCGCATAAAACTAGCTTTTCCATATAAAGACAAATAACAAATTGAAATGACAGGCTTCTAACATGGTTGGCCTTCATCAAAATATGGTAGTCAAGTGTACTGGCAACACCATGAAAATACAAACACGACTCCTAGGCAGTATCTGAACGCTTGCGGTGAAAGACCGATAATTGACCAAGCAATACAAAACTTGTGTTTAAGGGGTAAATATAGTTCAATACGCTACATGTACATTACTCAATTTCAAATTCACTGAGAATAATTCACAATTCACTTGTATATATCCTTGTACATGGTCTCAAATATTTGTAATGTCTTCATTAAACATTTGGAATTATTTTCTGGAGCAAGAGGTTACAACATACAATATATATAACATATTCTTTGGCCACCAGTTCAAAAAGACAGGTTTCAGTACACAGTATAGTGAAAGAATGCAAAACTAACATTATCAAAGCTACTGGAGCACATTTCAGTAGGCCTCCAGCTCCAACCAGCACAATATAGCCTCCAGATATTGAATACTGCTTAAAGGAAGCCGGTCATCAGCAGCCAACATAATGAAAAAACATTTTGAACCATTATTGTGTAGCATCACTTTGCTAAGGTTTCTTCCTAAGATAAAAAAATAATAATAATAATTTGGTGAATTCTTCCTTGTGTTTCATCACTGGAAAGCTAGATGCTGTTATGTAATTTTTCATTTAAATTATGCAAATTAATTAACATTATGAATGTGAAGAATAAAAACTGTATGGTAATGCAACATATTTTTCAATACATTTGAGTGAGAAGAGCATTGGTGCGTACATGCCGTACTCTTGTTGACCTCTACTCAGGTCGCTCTATAAGGCCCACAAATACGCTATCATCCAGCTTCAACACAGCAGCGGCTCCAGCCACAAGAATAGTGCAAGGGTTTCCCCTGGCCAACACTATGCAATGACATTATAGTTATGACTGCATCATTTGACCATCTTCAACTATTATTGCTAAGTTATTCATGTAGTCCTATTACTTGAATTTTGTTTAAAAAGACTTAAAAAGAGAGAATGAGATATAAACTTAAAATACTATTACAGTACATAAAACACAAACTTCACACCCATAAATGGGGTCACAGTGTTTGTTGTTGCAAGAAATCCTAAAAGCTGAATAAATAAATAAAATCAGTGACAATTTCTTCAAAAACTATAACAATTCTACTTTAAAAACCTTCCTCTTAAGTTCACTACTGCTGAGCTTGTTGCATATTGCAATACAAGACAATAATATTAAAAAGTTATGGCGGGGGACGTGATCCAAGGAAGCCTCACGGAGGGGGGGGCGCGGGGGCAGGTGAGAGGGTGACTTGAGACTCGGCCTCACGGTGGACGTGATCCAAGGAAGCCTCACGGAGGGGGAGCGCGGGGGCAGGTGAGAGGGTGACTTGAGACTCGGCCTCACGGTGGATGTGATGCAAGGCCATAATGCCAGGCCACCACACACGCTACGCTCCTCACAACGTGTCGGTGGCAAGTGTGTCGTAAAATGGCCCACTCTAGTCCTCCTATGAAAAAAAAGATACAATTAATACAGTGTGATGGCGAACATTTACACATCAGTTGCAATATTTACACTCTTACATAACACACAAAATGCACAAACCAAAGTTTTGCCATCATTTTTCTGTTACTCTTATCTCCCTTTACTATTTTTTTGTTATATATTTTATATACGTATACCCATGTACATTTGTGTTCACCATAGCTAACCACTAAGCTAGTACAGTGAACCAAACAAGAGTGGCTGCCACACACAGTGAGGCTATCTGGCTTCCCTCCCTCCCTCACCAAACTTCCTCCTCCCACAATACTACGCACAGTGCTAATTATCACCGTAATCTTGTTATTATCACAATCCTGGTTACTAAATCCTGTAAATGAATAATTGACCACAAGTTTATTTTGTAAAGTAACATATGAAGTTGTTTGAAGATTCCTAGATGGGCGACAATGCTGTGGTGCTGTGGCTAGCGCTGTGAACATCGTGAACAGCATTGATTAACTGATATTTGAACATTGTACATAGTCATTATCACACTCAGGCTCTTCTGTAATACTATCATGGATAAATAATACCAGTTACATATATATTATGACATTATTTGGCAATGCTGTAGTCACAAGCTGAACAGCAGTGTTGTGAGCTCATGCTGCATGCGTCAGCCTTGGTTGCTCACTCACTACTGAGGTTCTCACACCCGGGAATATTTCCCACAATTTTTTTTAAATGGCGTCTGTTTAAAAGAGCCCTGAGGAAGCTGATGTGAACCCCATGTAGCCGCGGGAGTTTTGAATGATACACTAAAAGTATAAGATCCAGGAGGAGCGATGTGCACCCCCCGTCGAGCGCCTGCAGACGTGTTGCGCAGTTCAGTGGTTAATACACCTCTAATCACATTTTTAATGATTTTTGAAGATGGGCACAACATTACAAGAAATATTAAGGGGCCTTGGGAAAGCCATTGAGCATAGTTAAAACCAAAGTCTATGATTCATCTTCATTTTAAAATTACCCAGTTTATGTTCACTAACATGGGTTCTTTTTCCCTTGAAAATGACATTTCAAGGCTAGAACAGGGAAAATATGCTAGTAGTAAGTAATTATCAAAAGAAGGCACCAAACTGGGAAGGCTATGTAGCATCACCAAATGTGTGGAATAATCAAAGGGCGCTAAATATCACCAAGGATGCCAATACGAGAACAGAAACGAATAAGGCGAAAGATATCAGAAGTATCCAATTCACCAAGACTTCTATTGAGGGACAAGTGACCGCGAGGGACGGTCTGAAAGCAAGACACACGCTCGTCCTGGAAGTCAGGACATTCAACAAGAATGTGCACGACTGAAAGAGGAACAATGCAATTTGGACAATAGGGAGCAGGGCGGCGCTCCATTAAGTGACCGTGAGTTAAACGTGTATGGCCAATACATAACCTAGCCAGAGCCTTTTTCCACCGCCGGTTACAGTGGTAGGAGGAAGGCCACAGGGACACACGACCCTTATGAGTACACAGTTTGTTACCAGTAACAGAAGACCAACAACCCTGCCAATGTGCAAGGATGGAGACATGAATAACTGGGTAAAAGTCAGAATATGGAATACCTTTATGGGAGATGGGACAAGTGTGGATAGCTTCCTTAGTTGCAGCATCCGCGCACTCATTTTAAGAGATGCCAACATGGCTGGGAATCCAGCAAAACTCTACCGACTTAAATTTACTGGAGATAAGAAACAGCCAATGTTTAATCTCAATGACTACTGGGTGGACCGGATTAAACAACCCCAAAGCCATGAGGGCACTACGAGAGTCAAATACCACCACAAAGGAGGATTGACAACGAGAAAGCAGATGACGAAGAGCATAGAGAATAGCATAAAGTTCTGCTGTGAAGATGCTAGTCTCCGGAGGGAGGTGACACATACAAGTACAGTATGGTCAGTAAAGAAAACAGAGTAACCCACACCGTCAGCAGACTTAGACCCATCGGTGAAGATGGAAATGGAGTGGGAGTCTGAAGAAAAGTGCTCAAGGAAAAGGCGTTTCAGGACCATAGGAGGAGTAAAAGCTTTAGTGATGCAGGTCAGGTAAGTACAAAATCTAGGAAGGGGGACCCTCCACAGGGGCAAGGAGGGGACAATACGAGGAGAAACATTGGTAAGACAGACCGAAAGAGAATCTTGTAAGCGAGACAAACGGACAGAAAGAGGAAGGTGGTGAAGAGGAACAGGAACCACAGGAGGGGTAAAAGTCAAAGCACGATAGAGGCGAGAGTGAGGATGCTGTAAGGACCATGCAAGATAGCGAAGACAGTAGCAATCACGGTGGTCCTGGAGAGAGAGGAAGCCAGTGTCGGCGTACAAGCTGAGGGTAGGAGTTGAACAAAAGGCACCAGAGCTGAGGCGCAACTCAGTATGGTGCAAAAGGATCAAGATGGCGAAGAGTAGAAGGAGAAGCAGAAGAGTATGCAGGGCAACCATAATCGAGTTTAGACAGGACAAGAGAGGAGTGTGCACCTATCTGCACCCCAAGAAGTATGGGACAAAACCTTAAGGAGGTTAAGGGCCTAAGAGCATTCAACTCGAAGGTAAGAGATATGGGGCTACCAAGACAAACGAGTGTCAAAGAATAACCCCAAAAGCTTCGCGGAATCTTTGTACACAATGGGGTGACCATAAAGCGACAAAGAGCGACGAAGAACGACCCGCTTCTGAGTAAAAGTCATAGCACAAGTCTTGGTTGTAGAGAACTTGAAGCCATGATTGGTGGCCCAGGATGACACGGCATCAATTGCAAGTTGAAGTCGCTGTTGAAGGAGAAGCGAATCATCACCCTGACAACAGAGTAAGATCGTCAACATAAAGAGTGGAGAAGATGCCAGAAGAGAAGGAGGAAAGAAGACCATCGAGGGCAACCAGAAAAAGAGTAGTACTAAGAACACTACCTTGGAGGACACATTCATACTGCCGAAAAGAGGCAGAGAGAGTGGCACCAAGCCTGACTCTAAAGGAATGACGAGAGAGGAATCTTTGAAGGAAGAGAGGGAGATTACCACGAAGGCCAAAAGAATGAAGTTGGGACAGAATATGATATCTCCAAGTTGTGTCATAAGTCTTTTCCAGGTCAAAAAGAACAGCAACAATGGAGGTCTTCGCAGCAAACGCAGTACGATTATAGACCTCTAAGTTCACCAGGACATCAGTTGTGCTGCGGCACTTGCGGAAACCAAATTGAGAAGGAGAGAGGTGGTGATGGTGTTCCAAGAACCACATACATCAGACGAACATTTACCATACGCTCAAAAGAGTTTGCAGACACAACTCGTGAGGGCAATAGAGCGGAAGTCCATAGGAGAAGGACCGAGAGACCCTGGTTTCCGAATATGGAGTACAACGGCATCGAGCCAGTCCTCAGGGACTAACGATGACTCCCAGACCTGGTTATACAGACTCAATAAAGACTGAGACGTGCACGGAGGCAGACGGCGAAGTATCTCATAATGAATGTCATCCGAGCCTGCTGCCGTAGATCCACAGAGGTGAGTGTGTTCATAAAGAGAGAAAGGATTGTTATAGGGAAGACAGAGATGAGTGTGGAAATCTTAAGATGAGATTCAAGAACAGGCTTACGAAGAAGGAAGAACTGAGGAAGATGAGAACCAGAGCGGACAGCCCGAGCACAGTCCACATTCCACCAGGGAAAGCACTTCTGAGTGCCTTGGGAGGTAGAGCGAGGAATAGAGTGGAGGACAGTGTCGAAGTCGGTGTCATGAAAAAGGAGATAGAGGAGAGGTTAGAGAGAGTAGCACGGAGGGTGAATAGGTTCCAGTCAGCTTTGGCAAACTGCCACCTAGGGAAGGAGAGGGGGAGGGTGAAAAGAGAAAAAGGAAACGAGGATGGGGAAATGGTCACTGTTATGGAGGTCATCAAGAACCCGCCATGTGAAATCTAAGTAAAGGGACGACGAGCAGAGAGAAAGATCAAGACAGGAAAGGGTGCGAGTCCGAGAGTCCACATAGGTGGGCTCACCAGAATTCAGAAGAGATAGAGAAGAAGCGAGGACGAACGGTTCGAGAAGGCGGCCTCCGGTGTTTGTCAGAACATCACCCCAGAGGTTATGTTGACAGTTGAAATCACCCAAAAGGAGCACTGGCTCTGGCAAGGAGTCCAGGAGGTGCTTAAGATCAGGAAGGGAAAGCGGGACATTTGGGGGAGATAAATGGAACAGACTGTATACCATTTACTCACAAAAACACGGGCAGCAGAACAATGGATAGGTGACGGAAGAAGTAGGGGGACGATGGGAATATCAGAACGAATCAAGAGAGCAGTAGAGTTATGGGCCCCAGCAAGAGCTGGGGGGGGGGGAGGTAAAGAAAAGAATAACCAGGAAAGTGACCAGGACGAGCACCAAGCATGGGTTCCTGGAGACAAACACAAAGTGGTGAAAACTGTGTAATTAGAAGTTGGAGTTCATGGAAGTTGGCATAAAATCCACGAATATTCCACTGAAAAATAGACATTATCAAAGAGAAAGAACAGTAACAGAGAACAATGAAGAAACAAAGGTAAAGAAGAACACAGTATATTAAATAAGTTCAGGATCAGGGTCAGCAAAATCAGGGTTAGGGGGCATGGGTAAACTTAGTAAGGATGGAGGGAAGGGAGCAAGAGGACAGACCAGAGGCGAAATGATGGGATCCAGAGGAGGAGACAACTGAGAGGGGCAGTCAAGGACACCTGGAGGAGGGGGGGGGGGGGAAGAAATAAAGGAGTGCACCTCAGCACGAACAGCAACTGAGAGGGAATCGGGGGCAAAAGAAACCTCCATATCTGGGACAAGGGGCCCGACCACCGAAATGGGAGGGGACGTAGTGATAGAGTCAGAGGGAGGGGGCAAGGAAGAAAGCGATGCCTTCTTACCCGCTGGGAAGGAAGGAGAGGAGTCAGGCTTACGTTTCTGACTCGAAGAGACAGGCGTTCCAGTAACAACGTACCGGGCGACAGACTCAATGGTCTCAGCAGGAGAAGAGGAACTGGAGCGAACAACACGAAGATTGCTGGGAGGATGATGGATATCAGCCTGGACAGACAAGCAGCGTTGAGGGTCAAGAGACTGGGGGAAGGGTTGGGAAGAAAGTGGGGGAGATAGGAAAGAAGACATAGGAGACATGGTGGACTGAGTAGGAAGTGGCAAACTCCAGATGGAGAACCAGGAAGGAGACCTTTTGAAACAGGACGCAAAGGAATAGGGGAGGTCTGGGTGTGTTCGGGTCTAAGGCCTGGAAACGGTTGTGAGACTGAGGAAGGTGGGAAGGACGAGGAGAGGTAAAACACAACACGCGAGCATAGGATACACCCGCGAAAGGGCCAAGATGACGAACTTGGCATCTTGCTTCAGGAAAAGACAGACGATTACGGTGTTTCAAGTTGAGGACGGCTTCCTCAAGTTTGTAGTGTATACACGAGCGTGAGAATGTAGGGTGGGCCTCACCGCAATTGAGGCAGCGAGCCTGGGGAGAAGTGCGCTCGGACTTAGAATGACTATTGTCCCCACACATGGGGCACAGATACACAGTACTGGTGCATTTGAGGACACCGTGCCCGAACTTCCAACACTTATTGCAAAGTCTAGGAGAGGGAATGTACTCCTGAACGGAGCATCTGGTGCCAGCAAGAATAATAGAGGGCGGAAGGGCCTCTACTATCAAAGGTGATTTTTACAACTCGAAGGGGCTGACGGCGACGACCACGAGGGGGTCGAGTAAACGTGTCCACCTGGAGGACAGAATGGCCTTGGGCTTCGAGGATATGTTTAATATCCTCATGGCAGTTTTTGAGGTCCCCTAACACCAGTTGCAACATGGTGTGGGAGGAGAACAGTGCCAACACAGGCATTTAATCGAGCGTTTTTGGAGACCCGAACAGGGGTCTCCCCAATGCAGGACAAAGCGGTTAAGCAAGTAGCTGCATCCTGAGAAGGAGCAGCGATGACACGCGTACCATAACTGGTGGGGTTAAAAGTAACAGAGGCATCTACTGAATCAACAAGGTGTTTATGGAGGGAGAAATCGTCAGGAGGAGTAGAATCCAGATGGTGGAGATCAAAGTATTTAGCCCATGTAGCGGGACCAAACAAGGCATTGTAAGGATTAGTATGGGAAGGGATCGTGCGAGTGCGGCTGTGGTGGGGACGGCATTGAGTGAGAGGGGGTAAAAGACGCAGTAGTCACAATGAGAGATGAAGCCGTGCCAGGGGATGAAGTGGTCACCACTGGGGTCTGGGAACTCGACCCTATCTCAGAAGAGGGAGGGGAGCTGAGGGAAGTAGTCAGGAGGGTCAAAGGAGGAGCAAGGTCGGGGCCCAATACAGCGGGGGCTACAGAGCCTGGTCTTCCAACACAGCCCAACTCAGGGCTTGGTCGCCCGCCCCACGAGCCTGAGAAGATACAAGAGGAACATTATCTGATATAAAAACGAGGACAGACTTTCATTCACGAATGTGGCCCCCACACCCACCATGGAGCCAAAATTAGAGGCAGGACACCCAATAAGAAACATGTTGCCGATCTTGCCGGGGCCCCCCAGGGGTGCGTCGTGAGTATACGCGTAACGTGGTGGAGGTGGGGTTCCTTGATTGTTTCGCTTTTCCCTCTGGAAAGCATGAGTCGGACATGTATATGAGTGGGATTGGGTGGTTATAAATAGGAGCTGCCTCGTATGGGCCAAAAAGCCTTCTGCAGTTACCTTTATTCTTATGTTCTTATCTCTTTACAGGTTCTCTTGGTTGTTGTCCTTCATATGACAGCTTGAAATGAAAATTTTGCCCAGTAAAATCAGCCCACAGAGAATTGGAAACATTTAGGGTATGACTGGTAACACTCTTTTAATTAACATGGCTCCAAACACGTTTCCAACGATTTTTGTAGATGGATTCAACATTACAAGAAACAATTGAAGCCTTGGAAAAGCCATTGAGGATATTTAAAACCCAGTTCTATCGTTTGTTTTCATTTTGGCTTGGCAAGGTTTTCGTTCACTCGGGTATGGCCCTGCTACCTTTTGAAAGCGAGTTTTGAGGCTGGAGACATGAGAAATAATGTAGATGTGATTCATTTTTTTGCAGACATGTTTATCTGATAGTTGTCTATTATATTATAGGTTGAAATGAAAATTTTGCTTAGTGAAATTAGCCCACATGGCATGAGAAATGCACCCTGGAGGCATCACCAGTTGCAACAAATCCCTCACTGCAACAAATTGGTGTTGGTCCCATATGTTTACTGACAGGTGAACAGAGGCATTGGGCAAAAGTAAATATAAACAACCATTTCTGTCCCGCATAGGAATCGAACCCGATTGAGTCAAGAATAACAAATTCGAGTACACCACGAGTCTGCTGAATGCTGAAAGAGAGCATGATATACTAACCCATTCCGTTGAGTCGACCCCTTCCATCCGGTCCTGTTCCAGTGTTTTGGAGACCTCGTTCATCTGCTGACTCATTGACTCCTCCAGCTGTAAGGCAACTTCCATATTATCAACAATAACAACAACAGCAAATACCTTGTCTTTCAATACTGTATGGATAAGCCAAAGTCAATTTTAGTTCAAGAGTATTTTAGGCCAACTGACTGCGACTTAGATACTAAGTCAAAGTTGTCAACACACCGTAACCTCCGGTCTCAGGATTGTTAACGAGGCTTTTTCCCACACCAATTACTATACCTTAACTGACACTATTGTATACTGATTTGTATACAATAGTATATGATAGATTTGTTCTATTGTATACTGCATCATTAACAAACACTTTGTGTAACACGTATCATAAAAGTCTTAACAAAATTATATTTACCTGTAAAAAAATATTGCCATACAATATTTCATTAATATCTTAATCTTATTTTGTGGCATCATTAAATCTTATTTTGACTTTGCTGCTGAATATTAGCATCATTAAATTAATTGGAAACTAAATTGATAATATCAGAATACAATTACAGCACTGAAGAAGCATACAAACAATCATCAGAAACTGTTGAAATAGCCAACAATTGCAACTACATTATGAGAAAAAATCACCCTAAAAATTATACCGAGTTTAGACGAAGAGCTCCTTCGTGAGCATGTCACTTTGTTGCTGCCTTAGGCAACTTCCTTAGGTCCCCCTCCCCGAGGATACTCAAGACTCCAGGCAGGACCGGTCAGACCGTCTCAGTCACAATACGCCAGGAATCCTTTAAACGCACCCCACTGTTGCAGGGTACACACAGCTTGAGACATACTGGGGAATTCTCAATTGAGCCCTTAATTAACCTTAGAAGGTACATTCATCTACACTCAAGTAACCTCCTCTAGGCAATACTTGGCTTTCAAGGTGATTGCCATGTATTACTTGTTCTGTTAACTACCAACTTTTAGCCGACTGTCTGGTAACTTCCAACTTTTAGCCGACTGTCTGGTAACTACCAACTTTTAGCCGACTGTCTGGTAACTTCCAACTTTTAGCCGACTGTCTTGTGCCTACTCATGCCCACACATGTCCACGTGGAGTCTCAACCTTCCTGTGTATATGGTATCGTCTTCCGATTAAGATGGCAACTAACCCAAGTGGCCCCTTAAGTAAATCAGGTAAATATCTTCCTTTCCGAGTCTGCACTGCATGCAGAAAATCAGCCACTGTGGGTTAATGAACTCTTGCAGACTTTCCACCAATCTTCATAGGTGGAGTTTCTAGGCCAGATCTACCACCATTTGTATCAGGGCCAGATAAATAGAAATCCATTTTACCGACGTAGGGATACGTGTTCTCCTGACACGGTCAGTTGAGGTGTGTCGTCTTATGCCCCCATGCCATTGCCTCATACAAGATAACTGTGGCAGGCCACTCCTTCTGGAGCATGGTCTCAACATATTATCTCCACCCTTAATTAATTTGGGATGTGATTTTCTTCTACCACCATCCTCCTCATGTTCCTTTGGAATCCATCTGGTTGACCTGTGCTGACATTCAGTCTTTGGGGTTTTAGAAGACGAAGTGCACGTTTACCACATTATCTCCTTGACTGTTATGGTCAGTGTCTGGTACTGGGGTCTCTCTCCTCCTGCTACCCCATACATCCTGACACTCGGCCGTGGTCAGTGTCTGGTACTGGGGTGTCTCCTCTTGCTACCCCATACACCCTGATGCTCGGCCGTGGTCAGTGTCTGGTACTGGGGTGTCTCTCCTGCTACCCCATACATCCTGACACTCGGCTGTGGTCAGTGTCTGGTACTGGGGTCTCTCTCCTCATGCTACCCTATACACCCTGATGCTCAGCCGTGGTCAGTGTCTGGTACTGGGGTGTCCCTCCTCCTGCTACCCTATACACCCTGACGCTCAGCCGTGGTCAGTGTCTGGAACTGGGGTGTCCCTCCTCCTGCTACCCCATACACCCTGACGCTCGGCCGTGGTCAGTGTCTGGTACTGGGGTGTCTCCCCTCCTGCTACCCCATACATCCTGATGCTCAGCCGTGGTCAGTGTGTGGTACTGGGGTGTCTCTCCTCCTGCTACCCCATACACCCTGATGCTCGGCCGTGGTCAGTGTCTGGTACTGGGGTGTCTCTCCTCCTGCTACCCCATACATCCTGATGCTCGGCCGTGGTCAGTGTCTGGTACTGGGGTGTCTCTCCTCCTGCTACCCCATACATCCTGACGCTCAGCCATGGTCAGTGTCTGGTACTGGGGTGTCTCTCCTCCTGCTACCCCATACATCCTGATGCTCGGTCGTGGTCAGTGTCTGGTACTGGGGTGTCTCTCCTCCTGCTACCCCATACACCCTGACGCTCGGCCGTGGTCAGTGTCTGGTACTGGGGTGTCTCTCCTCCTGCTACCCCATACATCCTGATGCTCGGCCGTGGTCAGTGTCTGGTACTGGGGTCTCTCTCCTCCTGCTACCCCATACGTCCTGACGCTCAGCCGTGGTCAGTGTCTGGTACTGGGGTGTCTCCTCCTGCTACCCCATACACCCTGACGCTCGGCCGTGGTCAGTGTCTGGTACTGGGGTGTCTCTCCTCCTGCTACCCCATACATCCTGATGCTCGGCCATGGTCAGTGTCTGGTACTGGGGTCTCTCTCCTCCTGCTACCCCATACGTCCTGACGCTCAGCCGTGGTCAGTGTCTGGTACTGGGGTGTCTCCTCCTCCTGCTACCCCATACATCCTGATGCTCGGCCGTGGTCAGTGTCTGGTACTGGGGTCTCTCTCCTCCTGCTACCCCATACGTCCTGACGCTCAGCCGTGGTCAGTGTCTGGTACTGGGGTGTCTCCTCCTACTACCCCATACACCCTGACGCTCGGCCGTGGTCAGTGTCTGGTACTGGGGTGTCTCTCCTGCTACCCCATACATCCTGATGCTCGGTCGTGGTCAGTGTCTGGTACTGGGGTGTCTCTCCTGCTACCCCATACATCCCGATGCTCGGTCGTGGTCAGTGTCTGGTACTGGGGTGTCTCTCCTGCTACCCCATACATCCTGATGCTCGGTCGTGGTCAGTGTCTGGTACTGGGGTGTCTCTCCTGCTACCCCATACATCCTGATGCTCAGCCCAAGAGCCTCAAACCTTCCAAGCTGTGGTTTACTTCTTTCTTTCCAGTTCCTTCATAATTCTTTGTGACAAGAGGTTACTCTTTTAATTTTAAATATATTTTAATTTATTTCTGTTGTGATTTTTGCCTAAGGCAGTAACTTTGTGGTTTAGGCTCAGCTATAAGGCTTGTTGAAAAAGCTCTTCTCCTGACCAACCCTGTAATTCTAAGTAATTACCTAAGTGTAGCTAAGTGGGAGCCGGTCGGCCGAGCGGACAGCACGCTGGACTTGTGATCCTGTGGTCCTGGGTTCGATCCCAGGCGCCGGCGAGAAACAATGGGCAGAGTTTCTTTCACCCTATGCCCCTGTTACCTAGCAGTAAAATAGGTACCTGGGTGTTAGTCAGCTGTCACGGGCTGCTTCCTGGGGGTGGAGGCCTGGTCGAGGACCGGGCCGCGGGGACACTAAAGCCCCGAAATCATCTCAAGATAACCTCAAGATAGCTACAGGATGAGAGGTATGCTTGTGGTGTCCCGTCTTCCCAGCACTCTTTGTCATATTACTCTCTCAAACAACTGGCAGTTTAGGCCTCCACCACCTTACTATCACTACGCAAAAGTGAACTTTTCTAATGTTTTTTCACCATCTTCGATTCCTGAGTTTGAATCTATGTCTTACCGTTCTTGAAGTTGCTGTTTTCAAAAAGTTTTCTTACTCAATTTAGTCAATTCCTGTTACTATTTTGTATTATATTTTGTTACTATATCACCTCTTTTTCTTCCACCTTCTAACTTTGGGATATTTAACGCCACTAAGTACTCGCAGATCTTATTTTCCAGTTTTGGGAGCCATTTAGTTGCATGACTTTGCACCTTTTCCCATTTATTGCTGTGCTTCTTGAGATACGGTGACATTCTAGGGGTGCCTTAGGACGAACGTGCAGTTGGAACACCCGGTGCCATTTGTTTACACATCCAGTGCTGCTACCAGATGGCAAGTACAGGTAGAGACCAGAAAATCAACAATCCAATTGGTAGTTAGTAGCAGCAACTGAGCAATACGTGGTAGTTTGAACTCTTTAAGACCTGCTTGGTGGAGATATTTTAATCAAGGTGAATGTACCTTCTGACACCATCCAGGAGCTGGAAAGTGAATTGTCCAGCCTCTCTCTCTCTTTCTCTCTCTCTTTTTCTCTCTCTCTCTTTTTCTCTCTCTCTCTTTCTCTCTCTCTTTTTCTCTCTCTCTCTTTTTCTCTCTCTCTCTTTTTCTCTCTCTCTCTTTTTCTCTCTTTCTCTTTCTCTCTTTCTCTCTTTCTCTCTCTTCTCTCTCTCTCTCTCTCTCTCTCTCTCTCTCTCTCTCTCTCTCTCTCTCTCTCTCTCTCTCTCTCTCTCTCTCTCTCTCTCTCCCTCCCTCCCTCCCCACATCTGTCCCATCCCCATCCTGTCGGTGACGAGACAGTCACGCTGACCCACGCTAAAGTCTCAAGTGTTCCCGGAAAGTGTGACATTGCCATATGACTGTCATTAATATTGAAATTAGATTTATCATTATCAATATTATTATTATAAGGAAATTACAACCAAAAATACATTTCATATTTTGTTACCAGTAAGGATGAGAGAATACAGTCATATTGAAGTTTAGTGTAAGGAACATTCTCACGACCAATAAGTAATTTACCATAGTTCCAGCCGGGTGTTAATTACCTAGCAATAAAGCTAAGAAGCACATCCAACATCTTAGATGTCTGCTAGACACCTCCAACAGTGTAGATGTCTGCTAGACACCTCCAACAGTGTAGATGTCTGCTAGACACATCCAACAGTGTAGATGTCTGCTAGACACCTCCAACAGTGTAGATGTCTGCTAGACACATCCAACAGTGTAGATGTCTGCCAGACACACCCAACAGTGTAGATGTCTGCTAGACACACCCAACAGTGTAGATG